CATTTGTTTCCTATGTTGGGATTCCATCATATTCCTCAGATCCTCTATTTTTTTATCTGTGTCCTCTCTAGATTTATTAATCATGTCTTGCACCCTGAGCAAAATGTTTGCTGTTATGTGAGTAATTATTTCTGATTCCATTTTTCCCAGATCCTCTTTTGTTGCCAGCTCAGAGAGTCCAGGTGGTTGAGTATCAGATTGTTCCATCTGGTTTCCCTTTGGGGTTGCTGCAGGTGATCCAGAAGTCTGTTTTTGAGGCTTGTTTATGTGTCTTCTCATTTCCACGGGTGTGGGGGAGTGCTTCTGGTGCCCACATGGCTCATCTTCTCTGCCCTAGGAGCTTGGGATGGCAGCAGGGGAGCTTCCTTCCGGGTGCTGGGACCGGCTCAGCTTCTCTGCCCTAGGAGCTTGGGATGGCGGTGGGGGAGCTTCCTTCCAGGTGCTGGGACTGGCTCACCTTCTCTGCCCTTGGAGCCTGGGATGGAGGCGGGGAGCTTCTTTCCGGGTGCTGGGACCGGCGGAGCTTCACTGCCCTAGGAGCCTGGGATGGCGGTGGTGGGAGCACTTCCTTCCAGGTGCTGGGACCAGATCAATTTCTTCTATTTTCATTGGGTAGATTATACTGAGGCATACTGAAAATTCCAGATCTCTGGCACTTGTCCCCTACAGCATATTTTTAAAGAATATCCAAATATTCCCTCTTCTCAGTAGCTACACCAAAGAGCAATAGGCAATAAAAGCTTTTGTACAATGGAAAAAGAAGATCTGAAACAAAGCAGTGAAAATTCATTTTTCTCTGACAAACTTGTCACAAAACCAAACTAAAAGATACTACTGTAATATTTGATGTTACCCAGGAAAACGTTTGGTTTATGAGATACAGAAGAGAAAAGCTAATTGGATGAGATAACCCCAGAAATCTCAGTCTTGTAAAGACCAGCAGGCAGAAGGGAGGCCATAGAAGTGAAAGAGTGGTATGTAGAGCAATGCTACACATGGTTATTTCAGAAATTCAGATGGTGGAAATTCTATTACTCTTTAAAGTCTCTAGTATGCTAATTAAGCCTAGGATCTTCAAATTGCTAACAAAAAAATGAATGTAACTTTTTAACTGTGCTGGATAAATTTACCAAGCTGTTTTTGTTTGGTTTGCTTTTTAATGAAGTAAATGTTCTTAACTTACTGATTTTTGCTTTTATTTGTTTGTTTGTTTATTTATTTATTTATTTTGTTTTGTTTTTTGAGTCAGGGTCTCACTATGTAGTTGAGGCTGGCTTTGAACTCACATTGTAGCCCAGGCTGGCCTCGAACTCACAGCAATCCTCCTGTCTCAGCCTCCCAAGTTTTGGGATTACAGGTGTCCACCACCACACCCAGTTGCTTTTATTCTGATTTTTCAAAAGGCCCTTTAACTTTTGCTCACAGTGTAATTTCTCAGAAAACAAGAATATATGGAGAGAGTATTATTTTGATAGAAGTATAATTCCACATATCACATTTTATATCAAAAAAGATGCTCAACCAATTCCTTTCATTTAGCAAAAGTTTATTGACAACAACTATGGGCTAGATACTGAGATATATTTTATTGAATTTTAAATATTTATTA